CTCTCTCTCTCTCTCTCTCTCTCTCTCTCTCAGTTTCTTTCTATTTTCTTCGTCCTCTACCGTCTCCGCAGCTCTTGCTTTTCGTTGAATTTGGAAATGGACTTGGTCGTTGTCTCCCCCGGGAAATATGAAGCTTCGTCGATCCGTATTTGGCAATCGTGTTATCCAAAGGTGTACCACCACCATCTAAATTACACTTTTTTTTCTTTTTCTCAATACCTTGCGTGCGCACAACCCGCAGCATAAAAGTTAGCTTCGCTTACGATATCGAGTCCCGGAAAAAAATATTTTTTCGTTAATATTGTGAAAATAGTAAAAGGTTCGATGCCATTAAATAAGGAAATTTTTATTAAAAATGTAACCACCGCTTAATATATTTTGGCCATAGTTTGAATAAATAATACGTATCCTTTTTGCCTTCCTACAGGGAATACTAGCAATGAAAATAAATTTTCTAAATATCAAAACAGAATTATCTAGAAACTTGAGTTAATAATAAAGTTTTAGAACTTTATTGTTTGCTCGTTGTTGATTAAAAAATTCGAAACTCTTTTTTAAAGCTCATTATGCTATAAAAAATATTTCACGGCAAGAAACATTGATTCCTGATAACCATTTTCAGTTCATACTCTTTTCAACATATTTAAGATTATATAACAAATTTACCATTGCTATATGACCAATTGCACAGTTGTACGAAATTGCGTCGTCCAACAGCAAATTAGAGCTAATACGTTTTCTATTAAATCGAGCTTTAATTCGATCGCCGGAATTATTTGCAATTTATTAACGTTCTTTCAATTCATCTAATTAGTAACATAGGCAAATAGCCATACATGTATCTGCGATATCAAATCAGAGAAGGGTTCATCCATTCGTTAAAAAGGATCATTTCATTCGATGTTTCAATTAATAAAGACTCGAAAGCATTTCATATATATGTATATATATATATATATATATATATATATATATATATATACACATATACATATACATAAGCTCTCTCAGCGCGATTCATCGGTAAATAAGAGTGAAAAAATAGATAAAAGCAAAGGTATTAATATCCCCGGCCGCGTTTCTCATTCAAGTAAAATCTCAGTTCCCTAACCGCGGCATTCTTTTTTTATTAATCAGCTTGACATCACGATGGGATGGAAAACAGAAGTAGTGAGCGACTCCGTCGGAGAGCAAGAGGATGGACAGAGTTCTATCGAAGCAGGAGTTATTGAATGGCGGCTGCGTGATCAGCCATACAGATCATCGGGAAACGGAGAAGGAAGGGTTTTCTCGCATTAGAAAATTATATACGGGCGAGTGCCGGTTGAACCAGGAGATTCCTCCATACCTGTTCACGGACTCGCCCCGTACGAAGATCTTTTTGTCGACAGGGGAGGGCAAAAATACGCAAAGTCAGCGACATTCGGTAATGGCGGAGCGGGTCGAGAGAGAGAGAGAGAGAGAGAGAGGAGGACGATTCCACTGCTCGCTTGGACATTTTATCCAAACGTGATCTTATCCGAAATACGAAAATTGCTATGAGGTAGAAGAGTGCAGCTATATGTGTGTACGTACTATGAAAGAATATCGTACGGGGTCATGTTACATGTGCGCGCGCATATATATTGCGAAAGCCATGTTTTTTTTTTCGCATTCCCAAGAGACATCGTGATGTAATGTAACGAATACAAGATATTATTATTTTTTTCTTTTTTTTCCCTTCTTAAATATTTTTTTTTTTTTTAAATATTTCTTCATTTGCTTCTTACTTATGGTTTTAAAGCTATAAAATATTCATCATATCAATTTTTATTTTTCAATTGTATTATAAGGAACTTCGTTTAATATTTTCAAGCGTTTCCTTTTTCGAACTAATAAATGTGATCGAATATTATCAACAAAATAATAGAGTTCGATTTTTACAATTTTCTGCCTATTATTATATACGTATTATTTATATCGAAATCGTCGAGACAATAATTTTTAATGTTACTTTTATGAAAATGAACGCTCTACTATGAAGTTTATTCTTTTAATAGAAATATATTCAGATGGAATCGTTCTTACGGATGTCGTGTACATTTTACCTTGTAAAAAAAAATTTTTTTTATTCTAGATATTTATTTTCGGAAATGCGCTTTTATAAAAACAAAACTATCCTGTCGCTCGAATAGGGATTCCTAAACCTATAATGTCTATTAAATTAATCATCTTTTTAGAAAAAAGGCCCATCATACGCATTATAAATGTTATAATTATTTTTCTATCATTAATTTAATAACTACGAAGAGAATGATGTAATATATCAACAAGATTTTTGCGCAATAATATATAAGTGAGCTTCAAAGATTCTAATTGAAGTACAAAAACATATTTAAAAGTCACATTTAAAACGATAAGCTCGAATAGTAATGTCAATTTGTAAAATACGTAAATGCAGATTTATGGAAACCAACGGAGCAACTATAGATATCGATTTTATTCTCTCTTTCAGGTAATAACTTCCGGCAGGCTAGTGCCGTCTGGTTTTTAAATTCGTATTCCTATAGCGATGTTGTATGTACTGATACACGGTCTATATTTCGCGGTCGACGCCAAGAGTGAAGACTATACATTACCAGTACGTGCATTTAAGTTCACAAGAAGCGGCGTGAGCGAACGCGGGAGAGAGAGAGAGAGAGAGAGAGAGAGAGAGTGAGTGAGTGAGA